GAGGAAAAAAGGAGGGGCTTTTCTTGAGGTCTGACCTACATCAGAGTAGGTGGAAAAATAATCCACACAACAGCATTGTGTGGATTAACCCAGGGCTACCTTTGGAATACCTGACGAAGACCTACATACTAAATGTTGTCTGTAGGTCTACTGGAGAACATTATGAACATTGTGGTATGGAAAGTCTTCCAGCACTATTTGAAGCACAGTAAAAAAAAAAAAGTAAAAGGGTAACATCAAGCCATTTGCTTGATTATAACTTAATGGCCAGTGTTGGCTTTGCTTAACTGTCCTGGTGCCACTAATTGTTTCTCATCTCCTATAATTGTAGGCACAGCTGAATTCAGAATGCATTTTGTGATGTCTTTCAAAAATTTAGTGGGCGTTTTGCCACTCTAAAAAGCCATCGCATTGGATTACTCGCTTTGAGGGGGCTACAGGAGAGAGTGGGGTAATGTGTGCCACATTTTTTTTCAGTTTGAGTGTAGGGCTGAGGACCATCCTCTTTCTGGATGATCCATTCTTGCCATCTCAAACCTTCAATCCTAGAAGTTTCAAGATGATAAAAGGAAAATTTTCTTGGGAAAAACTGTTCTTGAAAATCAAACAGTAGCAAAGAGTATCTGCTCATATAATGAATGTAAGTCCCTGGGTGTAAAAAAAAACCCTAAAAGGACTTCTTTCACTTTGAGTATTTTGTGTATCTGTATTATGTAAATGAAAAAAAAAAAAAAACTTGTTGAATAAAAGGATAAATTCATATTTTCTAATGCAGATTTCAATTTCACACCGAGGTCCATCTCTTTTGTAATTGTTAGGACATTTTTTTCACTCTCAAAAAGCTTCGACAACCTTAACCATCACAGAGCAGGAGCACCCAAAGCTTTCATAAATCTGAGGAAAAAAAAAATAGAACCCTAATTTTGTCTACAGAAAAAAATGGAAATGCCTAAAAATAAAATTTTGCCCACTGAGATTTGTTGCACTGAAGATGCGGTAGCATTTTCTTTCTCTCCCGCCTTCCCTCCCCTTCAGCTTTCTCAGCTGAAATGATGAGCGAAAGATTGCTGTGCCAAATGTAATGAGGCGTTGCACTTTCACCTCCACAGAAGCTAAACCTAATGGAAAGTCATTGGCTAAACGCATTGCAGAGTAAATGAGATGACTTCTTGGTTAGCGGGGCTGTTGTTTGGAGCATAATTGATAGGAGAGGTGGTTAAAAGCATTCATTTCCCCCCTGAGGGCAGCATAATTGCAAAAGAATCTAATAGGGTAGGAAGGAAAGGAGAGTTTTTATCAAAGTGTAGTACATGCTCAAGGTTTGCATTCCGATCACAAGATGCACATAAGCACCACAAACCTGGGAGAGACGCACATATCGGCTCATGCTAGGAAAAAATAAAGCCTCATTCTGAGCAAATTGAACAACACTGGCAGGGACTTGGAGGTGTGGGGTGTTCAGTGCAGCATCTCGTGCACCCATTCCAGTGTTGTTATTGTCATTACGGCTATCCGTTGCCATCTCCATCCAATCACAGTGAAGGAGAACCCGGTAAACGAGGAGATGCCACACAATCTGAATACACAGCTGCTCTGGGTCTTGGCCAGTAAATGAATAATTCACAATAAACAGATGTCTTTTTTTTGTTTTTTCTCCTTTGAGCTAAGCGACAAATACAAAAAAAAAAAACGTTGGAGTGGAGCAAAATGCAGAGCACAGAACAAAAGCTTCCCTATTCAGTTTGGATCTGATGATCATCCTTTACAGGTGTGATGAAGGTGAAGGGCCCCAATGGCACTAGAGTGACACTAAGCAGTTGATGAAGCAATTATCTTTTTCCCAACTTCAAAAATTCATTTGGATTGACCTACAACACAGAACAGATACAGTAATAGTGTTTGGTATCCATTATAAAGTATGGTGAGCTTTAAAAACTCTTACTGTCATTCATGAAACAAACTCAGACGGAATCAGACAAAAGTCATTTGTGGCAGCAAGTGAGACTGGAGTTACTTTACAAGTTAAAAGGGCGATGGGTTTTCAGCCCCATTATGCAAGCAATAATCTTACGGCGCAATAAAGTGACTTTGTTTGCGCCACTTGTTATGAAAATGCTGTAAATATGACTTGGAAAGAAGTTGACTTCATAATTTACTGCTTCAAAATTGGGTCTGTCTCTTTAAGAACTCCTTCTCTGACAGTCTGCCTTCACTTCTCTAATAACAACTTTAACAACTAGCAATGCACTGAGAAGTTGCTCCTATACTGAGCGCAGTCGGTTTGCAGTTCCACCAGCTGTTTGCTAATTACTGCTAGCGAAACTGCAACTAGGAGGAGGAGCTTCCTCTTCCAGGGTGACACACAGTCCCCTTCAAGGCATTTTATGCAGCTGAATGGTTGCCATGGAGATTGAAGGATAAAGGCATCTCGCCAGATGTGTTTTTGATGAGGAAATAACATTAAAACATAACGTAAAGCTCAAAGACGTCAATCAAGATGATTTTGCACTTTTAGTAAAATACAAGAAACAGTTCAGTTGCTCAGCAGATTTCAGTTGGTGCCAGTAGCTTTAGCTAATCGCTTTAGCTGATAGCTTGGAGCTAACTTCTTTGAGGCTACACTATGCTTCCTCCTCCCCCGTTCCTTAATCTCCTACACAACAATGTCTTTTGTCTTGAGAATACAGTAAGCTGAAATGTATAAATACTTCTCTACCTGTATTTTTTTTTAAAGGAAAACAGCAACATTTCAGGTCATCCAATGACTGTTCTTATTTGGCCCAGAAAAATACATAGAAGATTTTACTTTCTTTTGTCCTTTTGTTAAGCCCTTTGGTTCAGAGAGACTTGCTTTGTCAAGCCTATTCAGGCAACCCTGACAATTTTTCAGACACTTTTAGACATCACTGATTGCCGTGTCAGACATGTTTACACATTATTTAGACAGAAGACAGCATCTTTTCTATGGAAACATTAAGCTCAGGGGAAAGTGTCCTGCCTATTTAGATGTGTCCTGCTTTGTGTGGCCACAGTACTTTGGAGGACATCTGATTGGACTGTATCAAAAGTTTTGAAAGAGGGTTCATGTACGGAACACAAACAAATTTATGAATATTATTTCATCATAACAATAAATTATCCAGACATGTGAATGAGTCTCTATATCTATAAGGATCTTGTACTCTTTTATCCATAGTTTGAGGGTACAGTTTTATACTGTGAAGCTTTTTGGAAAATAATAATAGAAAATGTATAAACCTGCCAGTGTAAGGCAGCTGACCCTGAGGTCAGCATTGAATATATGACAGAATAAGTTTGAACTATGCTTTTTAAATCAAACTCTGGCATTTGTTACAATCAAAGTGTAACAAGCTTTTACAAGGTTACGACTTCATAACCAATAAAATATTTTGTGATAATCTTTTTCATCAAATCATCGCCATGAAGGCATTCGTGACATTTAGCCCAGCGATATACATTTACATGTATTATACCTGTAACTCCTGCCTCTTTCTTTGACCTTTTTTAGTTTCAACAATTGTGTCAGTTGTTCGGCTGTATAAAAGAACAGTTTGGCGACATATATTTGTCTCTGTTAAGAGCTTATTTTTTCTGTATTTTTGCCAATAAATCAAAATAAGAACAAAGGGGTATGTAAAGAAAGGGGTATGGAGAGTAAAGTGCACTTTAAAAAAAGAAAGACTGGGGGGCCATTTGCCCTCCACCCCCCATTCCCGCACATACACACCCACGCACACACCTACACACACACGCACACACACCCAGCCATCCTAGATCCATCCACCCACTAAACACATAACTGGAGGACAAAAACGAGGAGTAGCAGACACTTGGGCTGCATCTTTACTATTTTTTCTTTCTTATTCTCTTCAATTTATCTCACAGCTTTCTGAGGGTAAAGAAGAAAAGAAAACTGGCTGTAGACTGTAATTGCCTCTCTGGTTCAATCAAAAAAGGGGCTTTTGAAAGCAAATGGTACCACAGCACAAACTCACCTCACACACACACACACACACCCACACACACACACGCACACACACACACACACACACACACACACACACACACACGCACACACCCACACACACACGCATACACACACATGCACACGGACTGCCATGCTGGATGTTGCTGCATTACAATGTAATTCCCTGCATGGTCTAAAGAAAGAAAACCCATGTCTCACCTCTCATTTGGCTGTTGCTTGTTATTCTCCAAATATGTGCAAAAAGGATCTATAAATAAACATGAGGAGAGAAGGGGAGTAGCGGGGGGGCAGAGTCCCCTCTGAATAAGGAGGATACTTTGAAGATGCAGTTGGCTGCATTTCTTTTCTTTTTTTTTCCTTCTCGCTGTTCTGTCTGTTTTGGGTGGGGAAAAAGTCAGACCCAGTGGTGGGTAAATATTTGGTTTACCCAGAATGACAGTGCTGAGCTGTTAAAGTAATCTGCCTAATTACTGCCTCCCTCCACCTTTCCCTCCCTGTGGGTCTCCACCATTATTACTTTTATTAAAGAGGGGCTCCTGACATTGTTTGAAAACTTGTAGATGTAAACCGACTTCAATCTAAATAATCCACCACAGCATCCTTGTTCTTCCCCAGACCTGGATGGACTCAACTCTCTGGTCTGACTATATGTGAACGTCTTGTAAAGTGAATTGATGGAACACTGTTAAATTTGACTGGGAGCCTTTGGTCCTGATGCTGTGCTTCTCTCTCTCTCTTTCTCTCTCTCTGACTGTCTGACTCCGTCCTAGATGGAGGGAAATGAGCCCCAGCAGTGAGAATCCCCACTAGGACCATCCAAACCATTTGAGGCTCGTCTGGAAACGCAGCCATCAGCACCATGCGCCTGCGTGTGCATTCTCTCACAAATTAAGATGAAACTAAGTTGTAAACTTATAGTTTTTTGTTTCTTTCGTAAATCTTGCAGTTGGGGGTTAAAGCAAGCAGTGATAATATCAGAGTAAAGACTTACAGCTGCTATGATGCAGATTTTTTCCTCTTCATCAACCTGCTTGAGTTGTAAGTCCAGTATCCGTTAGATTCAGTGGCTCAGAAGCATTTCTCACTCAACACACTGCAACTCTTTTGGTGGGAGAGAAAAAGAACAAAAAAGAAAGAAAAAAAGGAAGAAGGCGCTCTTTGCTCCGGGAGAAGAAATCACATCTGGCCGCCTCGGACAGGATCGGACGAGCGCAGCGCAGCGCAGCCCCTCTCTCTGCCTCCGATAATCCAACAATCAGGAGGGAATGTGAGGAATCCGAGGGGGGGCGCAGGGGGCGACGCGTTTCCTCGAGCTCCTCCGCTGCGTCGCGTGCGCTCCTAAACGATGCAGCCTGGAAGGGAAGAAATGGAGAGAGAGAGGAGAAGAGAGAGGGGAGGACAGCTGCGGCGCCGCTGACTGACTGAGGCGATGCTCGCGTTGCGTGCATCCCCGGGCTCTGCTCCCTATGATCTGCGCAGGAAGATACTGGTGACGCGTGAAAAAGAAAAGCAACCCCACCAAGCAACCCTACAAAGCAACCCCACCACGCACACACACTCACATACACACACGCACACACACACACACACACACACACACCCCCCCCCCCCCACACACACACACACACACCCACACACACACACACACACACACACACACACACACACACACACACACAGTAATGCGCCACCAGCCTATGGGCACCTGCTATTTCCATTGCTGGAAACTCGGCTCATGTCAGGAAGCTGAGCTCATGTCCACTGCGCCGACCTCAACTTCAACAGAGGGACTTTATTAGAAAAATGAATAAATAAATAAAATAATGATAAAAATAATAATAATAAAAACTACACATACACACACACATATATCCTATAAAGAAGACAGATAATATATAGTGCTTTTTGTTGTTTAATATCTTGCTGGAGGAATCCTTGACTGCAGTGGTGTTTCTGCTGACCACTGGAGGAGAACTGATGCGCTCAGACAATGTTTTTATATATGTGTATGTTTTGGTCATTAGATTTTCTTGTGGAATCACTATTAGAAAAGCTAGATGTTTTTGGTTGGTTGGTCAAAAAAATATTGTTTCTTAAAAAAATAAATAAAAGAATAAAACTGCCAACATTACAAATGAGAAATTTTGCCAACCCTCAGCTCAGCTCGACCTACAAGGGGTTATGAGTCCTTCAATTACAGCACTGCCTGCTACTGAAAAGGTGAGTGGACTTAAATTGCCTTTTCTCCTTCTAACTCATCAAAATTTTAGATATTTTTTAGTCTACATGATCATTAATTTTTTTGTGGTGAGAAAATGTGGGTGCATTTAAAGGGATCCACACCTTTCAAAATATTTTGTTTCTCTCCCCCAGCAAGTGTTCAGGATCACCAGAATATGACACTATAAATTTTTAATTTGCAATGCAACATGCACCGACATAGAGGAAACATGTCTGTGGTATTTCCTCTTATTTAACAAAAAGATTGAATATTTTGTTCACCCACTGAAATAGTCCTTGACTTCCAGTCACTGACAATTGATGTTGCTGTAAATCAGATGAGCTGATTGGCTGCCTGTGCTGTACGTTGGAGGAAGATCAATCAATCCAGGGAGAAAGGCTTTTCCATCTCTGTGTCCCTCCATGTCTTTGCTAATTGAACTGTAAACCTTTGCCCTGTGTTTTTACAATGACTTACAGCAGTAGCTATGTTTTCATTCAGTTGTCATGGCAATTTTGAGCAAACTTTTTTTCTTTGTCAAAAAGAAAATATACTTAAAAGAAATGTGAATAAAAAAAGACATTGACCAACCTGACATTTTGATGAAACAATAAATTTTCCTCCCATCCAGAAAATCCTGAAGGAGAATGTCCAAATAATTTAATTGTGAAAGAGAACTAGATATTTCTGGATATTAATTGTTTAACTTCATGACTGACTCTTTGCCTAAACTGTGGATGGGTGGATAAACACTCATCCACACCCTTTACATTTTCATCACATGACTTGTGATGAAAAACACTTTGACCAAACTGTCAGTCTTGAAAATAAATAAGTAGTTAGCTTATGCTACCTACTTAGCAACTAAAAGACTAACTGTATATGGAGTAAACAATCTGGTCCTCTAGAATGAACTAACATCATTAACATTAATCACTTTGTCTAAAGTGTTTCCTCTTGAGCTTCTCAGCTCAGCCTTCTCTCTGGTAATTTAGCTCATGTTTTCCACCTGTGTTACCTGAGCAGTAATCCCGCTAACCTGTCTTACATTGTATTTAAGTTCTAGTCATGCCTTTGCCTCTGTCAGGATTCTTGTGTGCTGTTACATCTGTAGTGTTTTTAGTTTGACTTGTCCATGTGTAAAGTCAAGTCTTTAAGTTTTAATAAATCTCCACATAGCTGTTTTGGCTTTTCCTTATCTCTGCCTTCACCCATTATAGCCATTACACAGCAGAATTTTACTATTTTAACATTTAATCCTGTAAAAGAGGCTTGGTACAATCTCATCAGGGTTTGTATAATTCAAAATGGCTGCCTCTCACTCACCAAACTATATCACAATGTTTGACCAAATGTTTGGTTACCCAACTTCCATCCCAGCATCATGAACCCAGTCAGTTCAGAGGGGAACAAAACGTGACACAAAGGATCACACTGAGTAGCGCCGCAGCTCTCCTGCCTTTATTAATACCATGTCACCTAGTTTTGCTTTCATTGTCTTTGATGATGCAACAATCTGAAATCATACTGAGTTTATACTCGACTTAATCCCCCAAATCCAACCCCGCCTCCTCCTGGCAGCAGATTTCAATCACATGTTTATTAAAACACAAACATTCATGGGTGGGCTCTACTTATATCTTAGAAAGTTGTGTTTTTATGAGTAACTAGTTGACACTGTTATAATTTTGGTGTCTGACGTGGTGTTGATCAGTATCAGCTTCGCATTGAGATCAAAATCTGGCTCTGACATGGAACAGAGAATCCATTTAATAACTCTCAGCCAGTCATTGGATAGATGGGATTATAGGATGTTTTGGATCATAAGTTTGCTGAAGATAATTTCAACATTAATTTCTTCATTTTAACAAAACAGTATCACATTTTCCAGATTGGTTATTGTATTAGATTTATTTCAGAGCTCTGGCTCTTTGTCTCTGCCAACTGACCTTCATGTTTTTCTTAAAGAATGAAGGTTTCCTCCTTCCATAGCACCTAACAACCCACAGTTCACAGGATTCTTTCATGATACACATATCTGAGGTTCAGTATCGGCTGATCCCATACAGACAAACAGCGCTGAATAGACTTAAGACATTTGTTTTTTTAAACACAGACAAATGTAGTGAATGACAGATTTATTTGATAACTCTGCACCAGTACATTACACTAACAGCTTCACAAGCTTGGTCAAACATAGAAAAACAAAACTTTAATTGTTCAGTCAGTTCAATTGGGAGAATAACAGCTGATGTAAAATAAATAATACATACAAACTATAAACAACAGGTTGACTACATTGGTCAAACATGTAAAAATAAACTGCAACTAATCCTTCAAATGGCTCAGAAAGTACAATTAGGGATTGGAAGTGTAAAGTAAAATAAAGTATAACATACTCTGAGTACAAAGCATATAATTAGATTGAATAGATCTCCCCCCCAATGATTGGGCACATTGTCACTGATATCAGATTTAGAATTTGTTTCGATATTGGGACTGTTGCAGATATTAATATTGGATCGGTGAATTTCTACTCTGGACTACAAGTCTTAGGACCAGTCAATATGAAAACAGCGCAACTTATAGTCCAGAAAATGTTTGCTGAGAGCAGGTCAGAGGCTCCTCAACCAAAAAGGTGCTTTCAAATCCCACTGCAGCAAAGCCAAAGCAGACATTTACCTTGAAAGTTACTCATGACCAAAAGAGCACTAAAAGGATGTTGAGTCTGCTGCTTCATATGGGGGAAAGAATGATTCTGAATGCAGTAGGTAAGTCTAATATGGGCTTTCAGACCTTATGAACGGTTTGCACCTCTTTGTGAACTCTCCAGTCTTTGCACACGTAAAATCTTCTCTTTATGGTAGGCAAAGATAATGATATGTCTACCACCTGGAGAGGATTCCTCACTTTCCTGGATGTTAGAGGATTTTTTTTCTTTCTTACACCATAGGAATGATCCTGTGATCATCCACCACTCTTGTCTTCAATCGATGCCCATCCACCACTCTTGTCTTCAATCGATGCCCCAGCTTTCTTTTTCTCCCCATCAGTCTTCGAACTTTCTTAAAATAGAATACACCAAACTGTCGCCATGGCATCGTTTAAAGAACTTCCTTTGTTTCCAGAGTCTAAAGATGACCTGTTTTACTTGCACTGAAAAACACAGAAGGTTTAGATGTTGTAGGTTCAAAGCACCATCCTTCAAATGCAAATAAAACACATGTGCCTTTTATTTTCTTCTGCATTGTTCACAGGAATAAACAGAACAAGAAATTAGCCCACACAGGTCCGTGAAACGGCTTTGAACTCATTGTGCAATTAACCCATAAGGACTCCTTACATTTCAAGGCTCTAATTCCTGCATTCTGGATGTGAATGCTGAAAATAACAGTGTTTTGAAACTGATCGTATGCAACAGCAGATTTGTTTTAGAGCAGATATGTAACCCCTTGTCATGTGTTTAACGTCATTTGATATGTTGTACCTTGCAAGAATAAGGCACAAGTTTGTGCTGTCACAAATTTCACTGTAATGTCTTGGGATTTCCAGGCAGACCAACACAAAGGTAATTTTATTTATTTAACACATATTCAACAACAAGGCAGTTCAAAGTGTTTTACCTGAATTAGAAGGAAACTCAGCAAACCAAAGGAAAGAGCAAAAAGAAAGAAACAAAAAATGCATAAATTAGATGTTGGTTCTCCAGGTTTGGCAAAACTAGTGAAGCATAAAACTAAAGTCATGAAGTAAAAGAAAAATGACATGTTTTTATGTGTGTATTTTTAGTCAGCTCTCTTGAGTCAATACTTTGTAGAATGCAGTTTTGATGCAGTTACAGCTGCGAGCCGTTTGGGTTGAACAGCTACAGTCTGAGCACATCTAGAGGCTGGACTAAGTGTTTTCAGTCAGATTGAATGATGAGCTCTCATGAACATCAATTAAATACAGTCATGATTGACGTTTAGACTTTGCCTGGCCCATTCCAACATGAATATGGTTTTTCTTCGATTCCATACATTTTCATTCATAAACAGTGTTTTAATTGGACTGAAGTCATATGGTTTAGGGACATTTGTTTTATCACAGATACTTTGAGGTCTACAAGACACACCTAGGCGAGCTCCTGTGAAACCCGTCCTGCTGCATGAATAGAGATGGGTTGCAAAATGACAGCGTCATGGCAGAGAGGAACGACTATCATGAGATCACAAGTTTGGAAGAGAAGAAAAAAAAATCATTGATGATCTGGA